AATTACACGGTGGCCGATTATAAAGTGTATAATATATACACTGAGACTTCTGTGTGTATAATAATATTATAGACTCAGAGCAGAGCAGAGTCGTCGGTGCTCAAGTACAGTAGTCACGACGAAATCGAATTAAATTTCACACGCTTCTTCTTCTTCTCTCTTCCGATGATATCCGTCGGTTGGAACGAATGCGATTGTGATATAATGTGTTTTAACAATAATAATACCTACTCTAAAACGTACCCATCTCAAACGATAAATCGATTACACACACTGTATGCGGTTAGGTTAGGCCAAACCGTGCAATTAAATATAAAGTAATCAAGACATGATGAAAAAAAAAATTGGTATCAGTATAATTCTATTGAAAAGAGTTATCAAGTAAAATACACAATTTACATTGGGTTTATACTTTATACCGGAATTGGTTTAAGTCAAGCGTTGGAGGGGAATTTAAGTTGTTCGGTTGACTTCGGTTGGCGCTCTCTAAAATTTAATATGGAAATTCTAAAGGACAATGATTGGGAAAAAAACTTCACACACTCTGACGACCTGGACCGAGCTGTGGGGGTAGGACCGTCAATTTCCTAAACCGTTTCTTTACCTTGTTTTGCATCACAGTAACAAGTGCACGGTTCGAGTTGATGCTTCCTATGACGAGCATGGGACCCGTTGAGATTCTATCTGGTCATAACTATTAGCGCATCCTCGAGCAATAGTCGAGACTGTGTCTGTATAGTAGTATTTTCTTTTGCCATTCCGTGACGCGACGTTTAATTATGACTTGGACGGAATAACGCACCGAGCACGAGACGATCACGAACCGGAGAAAGTATACCTCCTAGTAAAATATATATTTTTTCCAACCTGAATTATATTGCAAGTATGTAAGCGTTACGAAACCAAGTCGGATCGTCACGAACGCGGGTAGGCCGCCTGGGGACGGTTCTTGTGATCCTAAGAAATTGCACCGACGTCGCTGCACTTTCGTGGGAACCGATAGGCAATAATATTAAAATATCGTACCCGCGATGGGAAATAATAAAAATTAAAAAAGAAAAACACACGAATTAAGCGCTTATTCTCTATCTGACTGTGCCCGAATTGGCCGGCCAAATCGTGACGTTGCATTTGAAATGTGAAAAGTCTACTACCAGTTTGAACGAAATTGCAATTATAATAAATGGCCAAAACGAATCACAGCAGAACTCGATTTAGAATTCGATAACCCCTACAGAAAAGAAATGCATTTATGAATATCACATTATTGAGAATGAACGCTGAAATTTGTAAAAAAAATGGTTCTTTAAACCTAAGTTTACAACAACTTAAAAACTTTAAAATAAACAATGAATATTAGACCTAGAAATGCTCTAAAACGTCATTAAATGTCATTACATAGTTTCAAGGATTTAGCTCGAGGCAGAATTTAGTTAATCCATATTGTTTTGTAAGTCTGTAAGGTCAACATAATGTTATTATGATACATATTAACATTATACCTATTATTTCTCAATATCGACCCATATAAAACGATTCGTCGACAAGAACGCGTAACACGATATTTAAACACAAATCACATTACTGTGATCTATATGGTATATCACCTACATAATACATTACAATAATTAGTGAACCGGAAGTACATTGATAGTTTACATTCTGCGTTTAATTAAGAGCTGGGTGTGACCATTGGTCCGATGGTTTAGCTAAAAAGCAACAAAATACATCACTCTTCCCGCCTAACGCGCGGTGTATTCTAATTAGTGTGAGTGTGTTTGGAAAGAAAAGTTCATGGTAAATACCCAACTTGGTCTGTAAAGTATCTGTCGGTCCGGCAGAAAAACAATACACCTACATAAGCCGTGCGAGGGACATAACAATACAATCAGCCGGAGAAGAGGTCTTCGCTGTGCTGTCACAATGAAACGCTGATTGACCGGAACTATGCGACGGAAAAAAATTAAACATCCTAAACAATAACCCACCGACAGTGCCAGCCACAAAGCAGGAAGCCGTCGTTAAATGGTCCGGTTTTAACTTACACAATCGCTTGCTTACATATTTTATACACCATGAAACTTCCACGAAACTGTCGTTTATTTGTGAATGGTACAGCGTGATTCATAAAGTGATTCAACTTCACTTAAGACTAATTGCCATTTTGTAGTTTTTTCTTTTTGGAGACACATTAGCTAATGTTATTTTACGTAACGCATATGAGTAATTAACTTTTTAACAAACACTAAAAAAAAAAAAAATAACTACAAAAATCAAAATTGCAATTAGTTGAAGAAAAAATTAATGTCTTATCCTTATCGAATCGCCCTGTATACCATAGATGGGCACGCGCCCCGCATATTTTCACCGACACGGCATTATTTTATATATTTATTATGATTATGTCGAAATGTGGCAAACACAATGTAAACATGCATTTTTTTAAAAAAGTCTATGAGTAAGCATTTTTTTTTTCCAACAATATAGCATGCATGTCTTATGTGCGGCCGATAAGGTATTGTTGACACCGCCACCGAATGTCTTGGGGACCGTCTATATTGTATAGGCTACCGTATTATTATTGAAATAAGTAGGTGACGTTAGGTCAGGTGCACGTGAAATTTTTTAACCAGCAGAAAAAAAAAGTCGTCCGCGTTTTTTATATTGCGTTTTTATCGAGCGGACAAAGGAAATGCGATTGTCTCGGTACAAATAGAAAAAGAAGAAAAAAAACACAAACAAACTGGTCGGACAAAACCAATACCGAATTTGGTGAACCGCCAAGGTCTGGTTTTCATATTATTATTATTGTTTCGCTCCTCGGTTCCGTATACGGCCAAAGGTCTTTTTTTCATCCCCATCTAACTTCATACGCACCTTATTTGCTTTGTTATCTTTCCCTTCGCCCCACCCCCTTTAACCAAGTGCACGTGTACACCGGAATGGACACATACACTTTTCTGCAATGTGTACAGTACAATGTTGTTTAATTAAAACCGCAGTTGTCAGTGATGGCTTATTTGATGGAAAATTGAAGAAAAAAAATTGGCCAACAGCCATCTTACCAAAAATATAATATTTTATAACAATTGTTACACTATTTTTTGTACTATTATTTATTTTTAAATTAAATTTTTACGTGAAAATCGAATATTTCAAAAATAAATTATTCGCTTATATTTTAGTATGGTTGGCGCGACCGGTCACTAATTACTTATAACTTGGGCTTTTAAAATATTTACATTTTATTTAAAAAAAAATCTAATAAAATTAATATGTAATAACTTAAAAAAAAAAAAATAGTTAGATAACAACTGAAGAGCTGTTATTTGTTTTTAATCAAATGACAACTTTAATAAGGTTCAATATCAGAAGATAAACAAAACATAAATTGAATCGTTTGAACTAGACCATTTGACCTAGTCCAAGCAGACAATTATAGATAGGTAGGTATAACATCATGGCTGAGCTTTAAGTGAACTTGTTTTTACCTGAGCACAATTGACAATGAACTAAATGAGAACGTATTAGTCCGTTTGACGGTATTACAAAAGGAATTTTTAAAGAAGTAATAGGTATCGATGATCGTTGATTTTCAAGTAGAAATATATTTCTCTCTCTCTTCACTCTCTTTTCAATTCCTTAAGATTACTGTTATTGCATGGGTCGTTTTCATCTGTTGCGAAATTTTTGTTTTTTGTTAAATACATATAAATCTTGTCAAGTATAATACTTCCTAAGACCGACAACCCGACTGCCCTAACAACAGCTTCTGTATCCGTCCGAGAAGACGTTGCTAACGCGATAACCGCTTATCGTGATACATGTTTATCAGTGTAACCGGTTGTTTATAAAATGATTAGATACCAAAATCAATTGTATTATTATAATCACAAAAAAATATACATAAACATTTTTTATTCTAATGTATTCCGACAATGCATAATTTATGACTATATATGTATAGCTCACATGCGCCGCATGACTACAACTATAAACATTTCAGATATAATCGAAAAACTGCTAGTGTTTGCAGTATCGAATCCAAAGTATATTATAATTATAATACAACATTTATTATTATCGAGTACACAACCGTCGTCATTTGTTTCTTTTCCTATTCGGTTTTATTGCACAACGACCGGCAACACGACAAAAAAAAAAACATAATTAAAAATTGATTATAATATGTTCTACGCGAATTTGACCATTATAAAGTTAAAAACTTTCAGCTTATAATTTTTAAAATTGGGTTTAAATTAAATTAGTTGTATTTTTAACTACTGATCAACCTAAATAATAAACTCCATGTTTTAGTCTTTACGCCATTTTTGAAAATAATCAATTTATAAATCATAAGAATTATCAGATTATTTATGATCGTTCTCAACAATTCGGCTTAACATATAATTCAAAGATTAGTCTATAATTTTAGTAATTGTCAAGCTAAACTGGTGAGAATAACTATTATTCAATTAATATTAGGTCTTGACCGTGTTCACTGAAAACGTAATTGAACTTAACTTAATACCTAATTAATAATAATAATTTACCATAACGTTTTGTCTCTGGCAGTAAACATTTCAATCTTTAGCTTACATTATTTGACCCATCTGGTGCATAAGGCTGTTAAGTAGGTATTTAACCAAAATTTCTAAAAAAAAAAAAACACTCGTACGCTATGCCTGAAATATTGTCGCTGCGTGTTTCGTTTAATTCTCGTAATTGTAAACCAAGACGTCTCGTTTAAAGGAAACAAATTTTTTCAAAACCAAAATCAAAGTGGTGTATATTATTTATCAGTGTACCGTGGGTGTACGTAGACTTATGCCACTATTTTTATAAATAACAATTGACTATGACTTACGTCATTTGTGCATTTAACAGACAACAGATTTGAATAATGATTTACATCATAAATAGTAATTTTTAAAAAATTTGACTTACACCACTTTGCTTTCGAAGGGCTCATAGTATTATAGTTTTCTTGTAATCCTTACCTTCCACTCCAGTCACAGCTGTCGGACGCCCAAGACACCGGCACAACGGTGGCCAGCAAAAGGGACGTCACGGCCACGAACCTCAGCAACAGGTCGCGGCCGTCCGGCCGGCGTGGCCGCCAAAATACGGTCATTCCGATGGTTCGCCCGCACTTTTGTACCGGTAGTATTTGTACAGCCACATATATGGGTTTGCGTCGGCACACAATAACACCGTGGGTACTCCAGAGGAAGGGTGGTAAAAATGTAATTACTATGTAAAAAAATTGGGTTGTTGTTGAAATCGAGTTCACTAAAAAAAAAAATCACACACACGAATAATCCACACTATAAGGACGGCGTACACGACGTGCAGAGGAATATTTTTTATAATCCAAAATCCAAGTACAAGATAACAACGATAATAATATTATGAAAAAGAGGCAAGAGCGACCGACAGAACATACATATCACCGTGCGGGTCGCACTCGAACAACTGACTGCCGAGTGCCGACCGCCGTCGACCTCTCCCGCCGGTCGACCGAGAGCGCGCGTTCCCTTTGGCCCGCCCTAATAGGTCTTGTGTAAGGTTCGACGGGGCCAAGCAGACAAGATATTGTTTTTTTTTTACATCCCAACCGGTTTGCCTCCGCCGCCACCACAACACCCTTAAGGATATACTTACTACCTCCGAGAACCTATTTATTATATTTTGAATTTCCAACAGCCCAAATTCGAGACAGACAAACACGTCAACCGGGTCAACACGAGATAAACCCTCGGTCAGAACGTTCTTGTCCGAAGGGTGGATTTCCTTTATACCACAATCGACGTGTACGCCTCTTGGCGTCAGGTACTTGGAAATGTCAAAAAAAAAAACACTGTCATTTCCGATTTCTAAATTTAATATAAGAGTACAGTGGCGTAACCGAGGACCCAATCTCGTCGGGATTGCAATGAAATTATCTTTGGTTCCAGGCGAAAAGCTATCGCGAAATGGACACACTATGTTTTTAAGACGCTGAACCGATTTATTCATATGACAATTTATTCTAATGATCAGAAGATTAATATTTGAACAATTAATTTTGAAAAAACACAAAACTCTTTCCGGTATGGTGGGATACCGTATGTCCCACCAGAAAAAAAAGCGTTTCTGCATGGTGGGACGGAAAATAAGTAATAACCCACCTTTTATTTTATTTTTTGACTAAATATTTTTTCAATTGGTAACTTAAGAATGATTTGGTAGCATATTCCAATGACCTTGATAAAAAATATACTGTCTAGGTCATATTTATAAGGGTTTATTACTAATTTTGTCTTTATTTTTTTTGACGATGTTTCCGGTGCACCCTATTTATTTCTGTTTTGAATTACTCGGTATTTAGTGGACCGATTTGTTTGTTTTTTTTTCATTCTACGTATTTATTAGTGAACATTATTATGGTCAAAAAAAATCGACTGACATTTTTAGTTCAGAAAAAAACCCACCGTGCAGCAACGACAGCAGTCAATAACGATTTTAAAATGAAATAAGTCGGAAAGTTTTGAAACTTGGCAGAAATGTTCTGTATGATTTCTTGGTTGACCAAAAAAAACCGCCACCCCTTCGAAGACCGGAAGTGTCCGCCATTTTGGTTTTTAAGTATGATTTTTAAGATTTTAAGTTTTTTTCTCAATTATTTTACAAAATATTAATTTTACGGCGAAAGTAGTTCTATTTAAAAATATAGCTAACAACATTTTCAACAAATATAGTTCTATACTTTTTTCTGTCAGTTGAATAGCAAATTGAGTATATCTCACCGAGCGTCGTAATATTTAACGACGCACGCTATAATGGAGTGTACTATAGGTCGATAATTAATTATTATTACCTACATAATTTATCAGAAATAGAATAAAAAATAAATATAATAAAATTTTTTTTTCAATTATAATTAATTAATAATTCTAAATATTATACTGCTCATAAAATAATCTCTTGGTATGCATGGTGGGACACATATAATCCCACCTACACTAACTCGTGTTTCCATATATATATATATATATATTTTACTTAATAATAATTATATGTATGGAATTAAAAAAAGATTATAATAGAAGTTATAACAATTAAATAAAAATTTGGTAGGCTGTGCAACAACGGGGTAGAAGAATCTGAAAAACGTGTGCTGGAAAGAGATAAACAATCGCATGATATTTCCACTGACGAAATGATATTATTATCAATATATTTTATAGATGGTATTATCCTATGACATTTTTATTAGGTTAACAAAATAAATATCGAATCGGGATATTTTTAAATAACACATAAATTTAATCTTTGGCGGGAAACGGCTAGGGTGATAACGGCCGAGAGTCATTTTGGCGGAAAACGGTGACGGCCCAAAAATCTTACAAGAACGGTACTGTAATATCTAGCCCGACACTTAGTAGCCAGTGCGGTAGAATGTACAGAATAAACCAAGAGGTTGAAATAGGCAGAGAGTTATAACGAAACAACACAATCGTTTATGACAATAAGTTTGTATAATGTAATAGTTGCACTGTAGATAATGTACTCACTAAAAGCTTAATCTAAGGTACTACTTTATGGGGTATTTATATGAGTGTTTAACAATAGTAATCCTAGGTGGTAACCGATAATAAGTCTGCACACGTCGTCTTGCACGGAAGATGTTGTCACCCGTCCTTGCCTCGTGTCGGTGCATCGAAGTCCCGATGCACATGCAATAGTATATGCATGTTGGACGTGATCGGTATACATTACAGTACTTTATCGAGCCAAAGATTTTAAAATTCACCCCTTCCTCTTCAAAGTCGAAAAACACCCAAAAAAATGATCATATTTTTCAACTTAAAATCATGGAGTGCTATAACTTTTTTAAAATTAGCGGAATTAGACATACATTAGAGTTTAGACGTAGTACCTATATACTTACGTTGACAAACCAAATAAATATCCAGAAAGACTTTCCCGCAAAAAGAGTAGAAATATTATCTTTATTTCATTTTGTTGGATGTAGTTTTAAGGTCGGTCAAATAAACTGAATGCAGATCTAAGGGAGGCTATAATAAAAGGTATTCAATATATTTGTTTAGCCATTAGCAGATTAGCTACTTAAGTGGTTTTTTCTTTTTGCTTGGGAAGATGACATTTTCGTTTGTTCTCTAGTGAATTATTCTAGTAAGCAAGAGCATGCAATATTCATACAATGTATAATGTTTATTCTGCAAATCTTTCATTTGATACAATAAAAAAAATCCTTTCGTTTACCATAGATCCTATTACTTTCGAATGTTTTACTTCTCCTAATACTTCTGAATTAATTCTTAATTAATGACCCTTTAATGTGCTGTGCTTTTTCGAAATTATTATAAAAATAAATTACTAAACTCCTAACATAAAAAATGATAAATATCTTTGAATTTGATTTATCGAAAAATAAAAAGTAAACACCAATAATCATTAGCATAAAAAACATTTGACCTCTACATTCCAAATGCATTCCAACAACGCTTCTGTTTGTGGTAAAGTTTTTCGTTAGAAATTCCTCAAATATTCTTCAGCGCAAACCCCTCTCATAAAATTATCGATTGTAAAATACAACTGTTGTTAGACACATTTCAATCGTGTCTATAGAATTTTCCCGAAAAAAAAATAATAAGGACACCGAAGGAGCTTTAAAACCGACTAAAATTACAATTCAACTGGGGTGAAAATATCCTGCTATAAAGTTGTAATCGTTTGAATGTACCTAGCTTAAATTAGATATTTAAGTATTAAATTAATTTTATAATTCAACTAATTTTATTAGTAACAATGAAAATTACCTCACTGCAATATTTAACGAAATTTAATAATTTACAACTCAATTTGACTAAAACACATATTATTTCAAGATTACTAATGAAAATGAAAAATATCTTGAATGATATAATCGAAAATGCATTAAATTAGAAATGATAAAACTGTCATAAATACTAAATAGGTTTACCGAGGTAGACTATAGACAGATAGGTTGGTCTTATCTATACATAATTTGCTCTTTGAATAATACAGTATTGAGAAGTAGATTATATATGAAATATAATATAGATGCACACAGCTCACGTTTAATATTATTTGATTAATTACTACGATAATTTGTTGTATTTATATGTATTTGTTTTTAACATTTTAAAGATAATAAGTAAACCGTGTTTCAATAACAAATAACATTACTCAAACCATAATAATATTCATTAATTAACATAAAATACACAATGGCCAGACAATTGTAAACAAACTATATTAGTCAATTAATTATCTTGCAAAGAACTTAAGCGAACGTTTTGGTATAAATTATAACCAGCTCGAATCTAGGACTTTTTTTTTTTTAAAGATTAAGGTATGTACTATGTCTTATTTCTATTTTTGGTATTAGTATTTTTTTATTGCGTGTCATTCACTCTACAGGAGGTTGGTGCATCGTAAAAATTAATGATTTTTAAAATAAATGTCAAAAAACTTAATTATGCGTAGAGTTGTATAAATTCAAATTCGAATAATAAGTTGGCTTCTTTTATTTACTGGTTTTATATATTTTTTAAATGTAGCATATATTATATTTATACGAAATAATGGTTTAAAATATAATTACTTAAAAAAAAGCACTTACACACACTATTTAAATAATATGCTTTAAAATGATTCTAATAACTTGTAATTCGAATAATTGAACTTCAAATTATTCAAATAATTTTCATTCGAATAATTAATTTTGAAATTATAGTTTATTGTTGACTAAAATATGAAAACTTAAAAATAAGGAAAACCTTTGGTTACACGCTTATACTTCTGTTCGAGATTTAAATACCACCAACTGACTTAACCTGACTTGTTCTTAGTTCATGTGATATTTTTCCTCCATTGTTTGTCTCTTATATTAAAGATGTATCTAAATGTCTGATGATCGTGCAAATCATAATACCACTTTACCATCTTAGTAGTATACCTATGAAAAAAAGCCAGCTTAAAAAAACATTTCTACACCGGACGCTACCTAATTACATTCTACCGCTGAATATATTTACTAATGATATATACTTATCCTTGCCGTCATCCATGTTGTTTTCTTATACCGGACACATGTGATTGTTACTTTATTTACTTTACTAAAAAACAAAGAGAAAGCGACTTTTCCACGAGCACGCAATAACTAAATCAAACGATATAAATTGTTTTAACATAAAAACAATACTATCTCATATGATGAGGCTAAACTCTACTATCTCATTTTAGTGAAAATAATAAAGATAAGAAATTCGAACAGTAAAATTATTGTACTTCTGGAAAATACATTAAATTCAATTATTTAATTTACAGTAATTATGAATAAACGTTATATAATAATAATAATAATATATTTTTTTTTCAAAAGTTTATAAAACAGTTAAGTCGTAAATCACCACGGTGCCTTTTAATCGGTACCAAATTAGACAAAACAAATTACCTAGTTTTTAGGTG